CACACCCAGGCTTGCTCAAGTGACAGGGCCCCCAGCAGCCCCGGCTCTCAGCCATGCTCAGGTGACAGAGCCTCCAGCAGCCACACCCAGGTGCTCAGGTGACAGGGCCCCCAGCAACCCTGGCTCTCAGTCATGCTCAGGTGACAGAGCCCCCAGCAACCCTGGCTCTTAGCCATGCTCAGGTGACAGAGCCCCCAGCAACTGCTCTCAGGCGTCAGCATGAGGCCAGGCGGCCATGAAGGTGAGGGGGGCCAGAGAGGTGGGCACTGGCGTTCACTCTCACCCGAGGACAAATGTCATAAGAGCTATTCACGCAGGCAGGTGCAACCTGGGGGCCTCCTGTCCTCTGGACTCAGGCACCAGCTGGGGGGCCTTTGTCCCACTCTGAGCTGTACCTCAAGCTGTGGGCAAGGACGAGGCCACCGGCTGCTCCCACAGAACCCACCTGTGCTCATGGGATGGGGGTTTAAGGAGCTCAGGGTGGGGCAGCAGGCAGCTGAGGGGCTGCGCCTCAGGTCTCTCCTTTCTTTAGATGGCATTGTGGGACAGTGAGGCCATGGCACCTCAAATCAAGCCCAGTAGGACAGGGTTCGGAACTGTGACCAGGGGCCCCACGACCTTTGTCTGTGAGTCCTCAGCCTGGTCACCCGCCATGGGCCATCCAAGCACCCCCTTCTTCCCGTGGTCACGTTTGCCTGAGGTGACAGCCATCGGCACGACAGCAGCTTGCAGGCTCCAAGCCCAGGGCTGGAGGCCTAGCCCAGAGCGGGTGCAGGACTGTGGTCAGGGCCAGGCTTGGAGGGCCCGACAGGGCCTGGGCTCTCATGACGGGCTTCGTGCCTGCTCGGCAGCGCTCAGGAGGCTGTGTCCCTCGTGGTGGTGGCCTGGCCTGGGAGGGCAGGGTGCTGGTGGGCAGTAACTGGGGCCGGGGAAGGTGTGCGCAAGGAGGCACACTGCCTGTCCGTGGGCCATGAGCTTTGAAGGGTGCCCTCGCCTGTCCCCATGCCCTCGCATTTCCACGGCCAGGCTCTGGCCCGAGGCTCCCGTTGGCATCTCCCTCACCGGGAGAAAGCACTTGGCACTCCCTAAGTGGCGGCTGGCACTGTGAGGCTGGGAGGCTCCCGGGCAGAGAACACGGGGTCCACCCGGCTTCTGCACCGTGGCTGGACGTCCAGGCCGCCCAGCTCTCTGGCTTTCTAGAGGACAGGAAGAGGGGCCAAGCGGGGCACTGCCCTTCCAGCCTTACGTGGTCCCCTCGCCCACTCTGCGCCGCCTGCCCGCTCACACCGGGTCACTCTGGCATCATCGCCTGCCTCTTGCCCCCTCGCTGCCAGCAGTCTGCGAAGGCGGGCCTCGGGCAGGCCGGCGTGCTGCACAGTTTGGAGCCCTGCCACCAGGCGGAGCTAGAGGGCGTGCCAGGCGTCGGGGTGGGCGGGGCCGGCCTCTCCCCTGACTCTTCCGTTTAGGCTGGCACCGTGGGGGAACCACACTCCTCCAGTGACCTGCCTTCCGGTGTTCTTGAAAGGAGATATCCACCCCTCCTGCCCGAGGAGGGTTGCTGGGGTAGCCCCTCAGGCCTCTCAAAGCCCCCCTTTGGAGCCCCAGGCTTGGTTCCGACAATACCCGAGGGTTACAAAGCCGCTGAGCAGGCAGCTGAGGAATGGGGTTCCTAGCCACTGGCCCTCAGAGCCCGGGGGCCTCGCCTGTGGGGAGAAGAGGGGCAACGAGGTGTTGGCTGTGGAACGAGTACATCCAGGGTGCCTCAGTGTCCCCTGCCATCTGCCCAGGCAGCAGTGCCCCCTTTGCCTGACCAGCAGGGCTGGGCCAAGGCAGCGGCGCCCACCACTACCAGCAGGGGGCGGCCTCCCCACGGAGACAGCCACCTGCCCCCTGGGATGGGGGTAACAGCACAAGTCCCCTCCTGTCAGCCCCCCTCAGGCCTGTGCTCCAGGTAGGCCTCAGCAGGCAGGGTACAAGCCCCGCCAGCCCAGGCCAGATAACCAAAGGGTTCATGCTGGTAAGCCCAGCCCATGCCCAGAGGCAGAGGAGGGGTGGTGCGGTGGGGGCTCGGCCCAGGTAGGAGGAAGGAGGGAGGCTGGGCTGTAGCTGGCTGGGCCACAGGGATGGGGGAGGGGGGCTCTGGGGAACTGGTCCAGCCTTGGGACTTGGGTCCCCCAGAGAGCTGTCTTAGCCTGGCCTCGCTGCCCTCAACCACACCAAGTCTTCGGCACCAGCCATGCCAAGGAGCTGCGGGGAGAGGTAGGTTCGTGGGCAACAGGGAGCAAGCAGGGGCAGGGGCTGGTGGAAGCCCAGAGGAGGCAGCCTCGAGCAGGACCCGGGGAAGACTGAGCACTCCCTTCGAGCCTCAGCGGGCTCAGTGCTGTCAGCATCTGTCTCTCTCCATTGTGACTGGCAGAGTGGAGCCTGGCAGTGCTGCCCAGAGCCAGGGCACACGGGGCCCGACCGTCCTGGCCAGGAGCCGGGCGGGCAGTGGGTTCCGGACCACCAGGCTGGCCAGCCCCGTCAGCAGGGGCAGGAGACCCTTAGCTGCCAAATCCAGGGGAAAGGGAGACAGGGAGACCTCGCCCAGTGTCAGGGCGGCTCGGCCACCCTCCTGGAGAGAGGGGCAGCCACGTCCAGGCGGTGGTGAGCGTCCACTGGCGCAGAGGTGGGCGGGGTGGGATGGGGCAGAGGGAGTGGGATGGCGGGTCGGACGGCCACAGGCTGGACGAGTGCCGGTCTAGCGGTCCTCCCGGACCGGCCGGATCTTCATCTCGGAGAACTTGAGCGAGTACCGCCAGCCGGTCCAGGAGGACCACTCGACGCCGTCGGCATAGGAGGCGTGTGCGCCGCGCAGGTACTGCCCGTTGAGGTTGGACGTGTGGCAGCTGCGGTACCACCAGGCGCCGCGGTAGAAGGCGGCGCAGTTGTTCTCCGAGTGGTCGCTGTCGCGGTCCTTGGTGGTGAACTTCATGCCGCTGTGCTTCAGGAGGGAGTCACCTGTGCAGGCGGTGCACACAGGCGTGCTGTGTGTGCACAGGGCCGCCCTGCAGCGGGCCACGTGGGCGCTGCACATGGGAGGCACAGGCACCGCATACAGACACGTGTGCACGCGCCTGCCCCCACACCATGTGTCCACAGCTCACAGCTGCCCTGGCCTAGGCCCCTCCCCTCCTCCCAGCTTTCCCCCTCCTCCTCTCAGTCTCCCCCTGCCCTGCCTCGGCCTGAGAGCCCAGGCCAGAGTTCAGCCACCCCACGTGGGGAACCAGCCAGCCTAGCCCCCTGGTCTCCGGGCTCTGGGATCAGTTTCACATTGCAGAGGTGAGGACCACGTTGTACCTGGGGGTTGAGACAGGTAGCCCTGACCCAGACCTTGACCTGGTCCTTGACTCAGAAGGGTGGAGGGTTGGACCTGGCAAGACCTCCTCTGTCCTCCCTGGTGGGAAGGTGGGTGGACGCCCTGCTCCCCATTTCCTGCTGTGGCCTGGTGCCTTACCTGCAGTGCCCGAATAGTCGGCCACGGTGAGCGGGTACCCGTCCTCCTCAGGGTCCACGGAGAACAAGCCCACGCCAAAGCTCCCGTAGTGGGCATAGGCCGTGCCGTTGTCAAAGTCCTCCAGGTCCACGTGCAGCTCGTAGGTGGCCTGTGTGGTCAGGGCGTGGATCCTCCTGAGCCCTAAAGTCGGGGGGCGACAGTGGGAGAAATTGGGGGGCTTAGAAGGTGACCTTCTCGAGAAAATGGAGAAGCACAAGCTGGGTCTGTGTGGTCAGTGACAGAAAGGGATGACCGAGTGTGTGTGGCCACCTCCTTCCTGCAGGCCCGTGTGGCAGGAAACTGCAGACCGGCCCTTTCTCATGTTCGATTTTCTCTGCGCACTTCGGGCTGGGCCGTCCACGTGTGGCAGTGCTGAGCTGACCATGGTCAGAGCCTGCAAGGATCAGCAGGAGTCCGTCCGCCCGTCGCCCCTCAGACTTGGGGCTCCAGCAGCAGGACCTGGTACTGGCGCTTCCCTGAGCACCCCGCCTCCAGGCCTTGGGCCTTCGCACAGCTGCTCCCTCTACCGCCTCCCCAGCCTCCTACCCGGCTCCTCTACTCTCCGCATCTCGCCTCCCACCAGGGCTGATACCCTCCTCTGCCAACCCGGCAGCCCCCATTGGGGTTTATCTTTGGGGTCCTAGCTGCCTCCTGCCCCTCTCCCTCCCCAGGCAGCAGCCCCGTGGGAGTGAGGCCGGTCTGGGCACCGCTACTCCGGCACCGAGGGTCGGCCCAGCACAGCAGGCCCGATAAGTGCTGGTCAGCGGTCAGCGGGTGGAGGCGGCATTGTCCTCTGCCGTCTCCAGGCCTGGCCCAGCCCTGCACGCCCAGGCCTTCCCCTCCTCAGCTCTCTGTGCCCATCCTGGGGTGTCACGCCCGCCCCCACACGCACACAGCCTAGGCCTAGGCGTTTCCCCGGAGGTGTGATTACCTCCTGATTCAGAGGGTGTTTAACAGCAGCAGCATGGGGCGACCTCCCCAGCACCTCCTTGCCTCCTCCACATTCCACCCCTGGGGACCGCACGGGGCTCGGGCTTAGATCAGTGTCCCTACCTTTCCCACTCTTGCCTGGGCTGGACCCTCAGGGCAAGTTGCTCTCCCTCTCTGGGCCTGGCTCAGACACCTGCAGAGTGGGCCCCAGGGCTGAGAAGGGCAGGAGGGCTCACAAACTCAAGGGTGGCCAGCAGGTGACAATGACAGCAACCCCCACCAGGAGGGCACCGAGCGTGCCATGCAGATGAATGAGTGCATTCTGTGGCATTAGAACACGTCCAATGGCCACTTCCCTCACAGCTCTCCCAACTGTGCCTGGCCTGCCACCTGCCACCCAGGTGCTCGCTGTGTCACCCTCCCCAGCACCTGGGGAGTCCGCCTGGGCCTCGCCGGGTGACTATGCTTGGGGCTCAAGGGCTTCTCTGTTTTTACCCGCCAGCCCTTCCCCTGGCTCTCCGTGACTGGAACTACGAGGGATGGGGTGGAGGGCTCCAGCCATGGCTCCAGAGTTGGGGGTGGGGGGCCGTCACAGTGTGGGGAGGCAGCCTGGCAAGGGACCCTGGGAGCCCAGATGGGAGTAGGTGAGGATGGAATGGAGGTGGCGGGGACCCTGGGGGGAATGTGGGGCAGGTGAGGAGGTGCTGGGGAGGTTGGCTTTGCCCACGCGGCAGGCTCCAGGTGACCTGTCTTTACAGCCGAGAAGATGAGGCACAGGGTAGGGACTGGCCGGGGCCACACCGCTGGTAAGTGGCAGAGCTGGGACTGGAACTCAGGCAGCAGGGCCTGGGAAGGCCGTGCCCTCCCACCAGGTGCCTTGCTCGAAGGTCTTACCCAGAGTCAATCTCAGGATCCAGAAAGGGAAGAGGGAGGCTGGAGCAGTGGGAGTCTGGAGCCTCCCCCCACGTTTTCCATTCGGCAGGTCTCAGTTCACAGTGCCCTGGGCCAGTGCCTGTGAGGGGCTACTGGACAGGGTGCTCCAGGGGAGAGGCAGGTGCTGAGGCCCTTGGGCACCTCTCCAGCCAGCTCTCTGCACCCACCAACGCCACCTCTATTCACCCTCGCCTCCTCCCATCGGGGCTCCCAGGGCCCCTCTAACCCTTGCCAGGATTCCTCCCAGAGAAGACCTTGGGCCCCAAGCAGTCACCCGGCAAGGCCCAGGTGGACTCAAGATTAGAACCCAGGCCCAAGCCTCAAGATTAGGACCCCAGCAGCAAGCCTACAGACAGCCGGCAGCGCAGGGGGAGGGCCCCGCTGGGTGGGGGCGGTGGGCCTCACCTCCCCACTGCTCTCTGGGGAGTTAGGGCTGTTCTGTGACCCAGGAGGGTGGTGCCGGCCTTCCCCACTGCTCCCTGGGACCCGCAGCCTTCGCCCACTTCCCATCAGGCCTACCCTCACCGGCCCACCTCCCTCGGCTCCCCCTCACTGGCCTGTTCATCCGGAGCACCGGATCTCGGTGTAACACCTGTGGTGGCTCTGGTGTGCCCATGCCAGGACCCCGGTGGCATGCCTGCAGACAGCCAGCAGCGCAGGGGGAGGGCCCCGCTGGGTGGGGGCGGTGGGCCTCACCTAACCAGTGCTCGCCTGTGAGCTTGCCGAAGCCGTCCCGGTAGGCCTCCCAGCCCCGGAAGAAGTTCACGGAGCCATCCTCCCGGCGCTGAAACACCTGTGAAGGCAGAGGGTGCGGAGTTGGTGCCCGCCATGCCAGGACCCCCCAGCCCGGGGAGGCCCACCTGCCACAGGCTCCGCTCACCCACACCTGCCCTCCGCGGCTCCTCCCCAGGCCCTGGCACAGAGCAGGGGCTCAGGAAGCTCGTGGTGGCCCAAGGCCTGACAGACCAAGTGCCATGGGTCCCCGAAATGTCCCTCGAGAAGCAGTCTCAGTGACGGTGAGGGGGAGAGGAAGGCCAGCTTCCGAGCCCAGCTGTGCTGCCTCGCTGCAGGACCCTGGGCTGGCCCACGCGCGCCTCAGTCTCCCGGGGTCAAAGACGAGTGGGCAAGGGCTTTGGTGTCTTTCTCTGCATTGAAACAAAACCTATGCTTGAGTCGGAACCCAGAACGGCCTCCCGCTCGGGGCTTGGCCCCCAGAGCCCCTCTCTTCATCGCCTCCCCCCGTAACCAAAACCTGAGCAGAGGAGGTGGGAGGGGGCGGCGGGCTGGGGCAGCCACAGCCGTGCCACCTCTCTGGGGAGCGTGAGGAGACCCGAGCCACCAGAGCCACCACCGGATGGGCTGTGACTCGGGCGGGCGCCAAGAAGCAGCGGGCTGCTGTCCCTCCCCCGAATATTCTCGGTCTGGGAGTCGGGAGTCCCATTGGTTAAATTGCTTTGAAAGAAGCAGCACGCTGTCCGGCAGTGCTGCCCTGAGTGTCCCCAAGATCCGCTGACAGCCCTGTCCCGCTGCCCCTCCGCAGCGCCCTTCTGTTTAATAAGCCTTTTCCTCTCCTCTGCAGAGGCGGCCGCGGCCCCAGCCACTTCCATTACTAAGCAGCCTGATTTCAGCCGCTCGGAACCGGGTGCAGCTGAGCCCGTCTGCTCCCTGAGCTCTGGGCCGCTCAGGTCTGCGGGGACTCGTCAGTCCCGGTGTTTGGGCAGCTCTGACGTCAGGGAGCAGGAGATGACACCTCTTTTTTCTTGCGGGGGTGGGGGGGCGGCTGGGCTCCTCGCAGAAGGAAATTCGATCGGGCTCCGAGATCTGAGTGGAGCTGGGGAGCGATCTACGATCGAGGCCGAGATTGGGATCCTAGGCACGCGCCCTTCCACAGGCCTAATCCTGCCAAGACGCTCTGGCTCCCCGGAGAAGGCATCGGGCAGTCAGAGCCAGTCTCCACCGGATGGGGGGAGCTGGGGATCCCCGGGGGGCCCTGCTCATATCGGAGGCCTGCGGGCCCCTGCCTGGGACTGGCATTCTGAGCACGCCGGGTGCCGAGGAGCCTTCGTGTCAGGCGGGGAAGACCGGTGGTCAGAGCTGAAGTCCAGAGCTGACCCACGCTCAAGCCACAGGGTCTGGGACTGGTCGCGCAATGAGCCACGTGGACTCAGCGCCTTACCCTCCGCACCACCTGGATAGTGCCTCCAGCTCCCTGAGCCTGTTTCCTCATCTGTAAAATGGGGGTCGTAACAGCACCATCCTCACAGGGGATGCGGGTCCCTAGAGTAAGCTCAGGGCCTGGCACACAGCAGACGCTCAGCAAATGCCACTGGATGCCAGGTCTGCTCCCCCTGCCCCACTGGGGCAGCCCAGCCCCAGGCCACGCCCTGCCCTGCCTCCCCACCTGCCCTGCCCCAAACCTCCCTGATCCATGCAAAGGTTGCCCTGAGTGAAACCAGAGAAACCAAGTGGGGTACACGCGGTCAGGACCCCAGTCCCCAGGGACCTTAGGGGAGAAGAGCGAGGAGAGGCCCTGCTCAGGGGACCTCCTACCCAGGCAGAAACAGGACAGGTCCAGGGGCTGGGGGCCCAGTGGCTCTGCCCAGCAGGGCCTGGCTTCTAGGAGGGATTCCAGGGTGGCCCTGGAGGAAGGGCAGGGTTGTGGGTCCAGGTCTGCCACTGTGTGACCCAAGGCAGTCGCACCACCCCCCGAGCCTTGCGTTCCTCACAAAGGGGAGGATGCCCTTTCAGGCAGGGGCAGGGCATGAACCCTGGAAACCAGAAGGTCCAGACCAGATGTGGAAACCCGAGGGGCAAGGAGAACGCAAGGACATGACTAAAGAGGGGACAGCCCTGCTTGCAGCCAGCGGCTGTGCCCAGCCACGGCTTGACCAGGTGGGGCCCATGGCATGGTGCCCAGCATAAACCCCCAGGTAAGCATGAACGAATGTGGAACTTTCCAGAAAGAGAGCAAGAGGCCCAGGTAGTCCCAGCAAGAGCCTTCAAGAAGCCCTCCAGGCTCTGCCTCCCTCCCGCCCACCACAGGGGTGCTCAGGTCCATGCTGGGAACGCCAGGCCCTTGTCTCAATCAAAGATCGGGGGCAGGGGTGCCCCTGGTCCCGGCTGCACGTGGGCAGAGCGGTCGAGGCCAGGTAGTGCTGAGAGCCCCCACAGCAGCTGCTGGGGCGGACCCCTCTCTAGTACCCACACTGTTCGCCGACTCCTCACCCACCACAGACCTGGGGTCCACGCCCCCGACCCTGTCACAGCAGACATGGGCTCAGACCCGGCTGGAGTCCAGACAGCCACGGACAGCTGCAGAGAGGCCGGACTGCCCTGAAGGCCCCTGTCCTAGCACATTTGTCCCCGGTGAGGGCATCTGGAGCTGGGTGTGCCTCCTGGCCAGACCTCCAGCCCACAGTCCTCCACCCTGTCCTCGGTCCCACGTCCACCCAGGACTCCGCCTGTGTGCCGAGCACACCCCTGGGGCCGCCTGGGCCTCCTGGCGTCCTCCACCCAGGGAACAGCCTGAGTCGGGCAGGGCGGCCGGTCCTGTCAACGCCTGGGCACTCTGCCCTGAGTGGCAGCAACTGACCCTCCCCGCGAGGGCCAAGGCAGCCATGGTGCGGCTCTGGAGAAGTAACTTTTAAACTTGGTGATCACGCCCCAGATAAATGCAGTTTACACCACCACACGCATTTCCGTACATCCGAAGGGAAAGCCTCCTGAAGTGACACCTGTCCTTACTCTTTAAGTTTCTTTCTTCCACAAGCATACGTGTGCAAGAGAGACAGAGAGACAGAGACAGTACCCCCAACAGGGTCTTGACGCCAGCCCGGGGACGGGCACTTGCCTGCCGCTGTACTCGGGAAGGGCTCCAGATGCACGCCCAGCAGCGCCCACGTGGTCGGGCTCAGCACTGCGTCGTCCCACCATACCTCCGCTGGCCGAGGCATCCCCGCGAAGGGTGCGCTGTGGGTCCCCTTGTGTCCTGTCCCCCTGTGCTCTATTCGACTTTAAAAACGGCATTGGTCTCAGCCCATTCCATCGACTGCGCGCCGCCGGAGGGTCTCAACCCGCAGTTTGAGAAATGCCGCTGTGGATGCCGCCTCCTTTACTGTGGGCTGTTTACATTCGTGGTCTCGAATGCCAAGCGGCCAAGTGGGCCTTGAGTCGTGCTAGGTTCTCAGGCCTGGAACTCCGTCCTGGCCTTTGAGCCACCTGCAGTGCAGTGAGTGACAACAGTCCCCAGTCTGCCGGAGCCCCGGACCAGTGTGAGACAGGCTCTCGGGGCTCCCAAGGCCCAGGGCGGTTCGCAGCCATGGCCTCGTATCTCTGGACATCACCTGGACTTCAGTGACGCTGGCCGGCTGGATGTCGAAGCGGGAGCAAGGGTCCCAGACAGGACACTAGGAGGGAAGCGAGTGACATGGTGACATGGCCTTTGCCCGTCCTCTGCCCCTCCCATGGAACATGAACCCCAATTACATGAGGGAGCGAGGGACAAAATAATTATCGAGCAGTTGCGAGGCCACGATAGTAATTGGTCTGGCTCTGGCATCTCTCCTGGGCTCCGGCTGGCGGCGTCTGATGTAGATACGGTTGCCGCGGCCGAGGACGCTTGGGCAGGAGCCACGGGTGGGCAGGCAGGCGTGTTTCTTGTGCGGATTTTCAGAGCCGGGCCTGCCGCCTCGGAAGTGCTGCCTGGGGGGCCTGCTGAGGGCGTGCGCGGCCCACGTGGCCCTCCAGACGGTGCAGCGGGCTTCAAAGGAAGGAGCACCTGCAGGGGGGAGGGCGGCCGCGTGGTTCGCTGTCCCAGGTCTGTCTGAGGGCCCTGGGGCGGAGGGTCATGGAAGCCACTGAGCTTCCTCGCCCCCGTACGCCCTGGTCCCACTGGGACCACCTCTGTGACTGCGGCAGTGCCAAGAGCCTGCAGCCGGCACCTGGCATCCAGCCCCTGCTGGGCCCTGGAGGGACTGGCGTCCCCACGGGCAGAGGAGAGGAGTAAGGCTCAGAGAGCTGGGCGTTCTCTGCAGAGCCGGTGCCTCAGGCTGGGGCAACCAGACAGGGCGGTGACCGTCACAAACACAAAGGCTGGAGCGGCCATGGATTGTCCGTGCCTGTGAGCCCGTCAGGCCCTCAGTCCTGGGAGGTGCCCTGGGATGGCACCCAGAGACCCGAGTCCTGTCCAGACTCTGGCCAACGGTCTCTAGGACCTCCTCAGACTGAGCTTCTCCCCTGCAAAGCAAGGGTGTCCCACAGGCCCCTGCGTGTGTGCGGGGCTCGCGGAGCTGACTTGGGCCTCAGAAAGCTCAGTCGCGGGCGCGGGCATCGCAGCTCCTGACCTGCACATCCGTCCCATCCCTGCGCCTCGGTGTCCTCATCCGTGACAGGGTTACAACAGCCACAGTCCACAGAGTGTGGATGGGGACTCAGTGCGCTGGCACGGGAGGCTCGATAACGGTGACAATTGTTACAGGGCTTCCTGGGAGCTCGGAGGAGGAGGAGCTCTTCTGCTGGGACACTTGGAGATGGCAGTCTAGGAAGGCTTCCTGAAGGAGGAGATGCTCAACTGAACTGTTGATTAAGCAGGACCTCGCCAGGTGGTCAGAGGAGCTGAGCCCCGCGGATGGCGGATGGCGGGTGGCTGTGTCCGAAGCTGTAATATCGGCAGGCGGGGATGGGCTCTCTGGGGGCACTCTCTGGTGTGTTAGAAGGTCCCCAGGAGGTGGCATCTGGGACTTCTCTTACATGACGGTGAAGCTGCTGCAGAAACCAGTTATTCAGGATCCTGAA